CTTTTTTGATGTTTGTTGTTGTTGTTGTTTTGTATTTTTGAGAAAGTGTCTCACTCTGTCTCCCAGGTGGGAGTGCAGTGGTGCAATCATGGCTCACTGCAGCCTCAACCTCTCGGGTTCAAGTGATCCTCCAACCTCAGCCTCCCAAGTAGCTGGGACTACAAACATGCCTGGCTAATTTTTACACTTTTTTGTAGAGATAGGGTTTCACCACGTTACCCAGTCTGGTTTTGAACTTCTGGACTCGAGTGATCCTCCCACCTTAGCTTTCAAAGTGTTGGGATTATGGGCATGAGCCATTGCACCCTACCTGAGTCCTCTTTCTGACTCTTGGACTCTTAGTTCAGTTTTAGCAAGAATTCTGCTGAGTCAGTTTAGCAAAAATCTCCTATCCTTGATATCTGATCACATTCCTCATTCCCTACCTTGATAGCTTATCACCCTGGCCTGACTTCAGCAAGAATCCTAGTGAGTTGGTCTATCAAGAATTGCCCCAGCCCTCATGTTTCCTCTTAGTACTTTTCCATCTACTGACCCCAACATTGCTCCTTGGCTATATAAATCTCCACTTGTCCTGCTATGTTTGGGGTTGAGTTTGACCCTTCTCCCCTATTGCAGAACCCCACTGCGGTGGCTCCTGCTTGAATAAGTCTTCCTTACCATCTTTTTTTTTTTTTTTTTTTTTTTTTATATGGAGTCTCGCTCTCGGCTCAGTGCAACCTCCACCTCCTGGGTTCAAGCAATTCTCCTGCCTCAGGCTCCTGAGTAGCTGGGACTACAGGTGCCTATCATCACACCCGGCTAATTTTTGTATCTTTAGTAGAGATGGGGTTTCACCATGTCGACCAGGCTCATCTCGAACTCCTGACCTCAGGTGATTTGTCTGCCTTGGCCTCCCAAAGTGCTGGAATTACAGGTGTGAGCCACGGCGCCCAGCCCATTACCATCTTTAACAATAGTCATGAATAACTTTTCATGAAGAATTCCCAGGATGGTGAACCACCTGCCACGTGAGCCTGTTCAGTAATCAGGGATGAGGGATCCTTCACAGCAGCCTCTAAGAAACCAGGCGTGTGCCTGTTGGTCTCAAAGTCACCTCTTGGCTCCTCCTCCTTGCTGGGGCCTGGGCGCGGTTCAGCAGCCAGGAGGAAGATGGCTTTGCGTTTGTAATTTGTGATTTGTGTGTCCCCGCTCCTTGCTCAGCATTCTACCCTCAGCTCCTTGTTCACAGCCTGGTCCCCTGGAGCTCCATAAATACCTGTTGAGTGAATGAGAGGATGGAGGCTCCTGCAGAGAGAGAGGAGTGGAAGGCGTCTTTGGACTTCAGACTTGGCTTTCCTGGCAGAGGCCTCAGGGAGGAACAACACGGAAACAAAGATGGCCTTGTCCTGGGCCCTTCCCTCCCCGCCCCACCGTCCTCCTCTGCATCCCACAGCGGCCTGGGGGGAGGTGGAAATGGACCCCTTTGTTCTACTTCCAGAATTCCGCTCCCGCGGGGTGGAGGCCTGGCTGCAGCACCCGCCCCCCCCAACCCCGCCTGCTTCCTCTGCCAGTTCTTCCTAATCCTGAGGGATTCGCCAAAGCCTTGGAGACCCACACCGTGGGTCTCACTGTGAGGACGGGCCTCACCTCACAGGTAGCCTCAGAGATGGACATGGGTGCAGAGAGAAGAGGGGGTCCCCACCTGTTCCCTCCCAGTCCTCTTCTTCAGTGTCCCCAGGGCCTGTCACACAAGACAAACGAAACTGGGAGGCTCCGTCTAGAGTGGAACCCAGGTGAGCACTAATCCAGTGTGGCCTGCAGACCTGCTTTTCCCTGGTCCCCGACATGAGTAAATTCAGAAAAGGAGGGTCAGTGTTTGGAGATGTTAACATGATAGAGTACTTTTATGACTATTGAATCAAATACTTTTTCAAGGGTTTGAATGGATTATCAGACCATGGAAAGATACAGAAAACTTGAATGCATATTACTAAGAAGTGAAAGAAGTCCGTCTGAAAAGGCTGTATAGTACCTGATTCCAAGTGTATGACATTCCGGGGAAAGCAAAACTCTGGAGACAGTAAAAGGACCAGCGGTTGCCAGGAGTTAGGGGAGAGAGGCATGGCTGGGTGGAGCACAGAAGATTTCAGGGCAGTGGAACTACCCTGTATACTACTACAGTGGTGGATACGCGTCATTACGCATTGTTCAAATTCATGGAATGGACGACACCAAAGGTTAACTCCAGCCAGAAGTCCTGGTCTCTTACCCCTGCCCCATTCTTAGCATTGGGCCTCAGTTTCCTTTTCTGCAAATTGAGGGGGTAGCATGATCTGACCTACCCAATTTGACAGTTCAGCTAATGTCTGGTTCTTTTGACAAGTACAGGCAGCCTCTGGCAATGAGGGGCCATAGACTCCCCCTCCAAACCTCACCATCAAGATGCTCCAATGAAAGCAGGTCTTGGGGAATTCTGCCAGCCAGCCACGCTCATTGGCAAGGCTGCACAAAATAGGGTGTACGCTTGGGGAAGTCTTAGCTGTCCTCAGACTCTCAGACATGTAGCTTGCTTGAAAGGTTGGGGTTCTGAAGGAGCAGCCTGCATCTCGGTCCATCCTGTGACAGTCTCACAAAGTGGGGACCAGATTCTGATGCCTCATTGGTACAGAGACAACGATGACTGTGCAGGGCTCCTAGCTGGCCACATTCATGAACATTATTTACTTCGCCAGTGAAAACTTATTTCAAACATCCCTTATGCTAATTAATCAACCCTCGGGTGTAATTTTGATGACCACATTTGAAATGCTTTGTCAACACCTCTGGACTATGGATTTCTAAAGAACTCCAAAGGCAAAACAGCTGCCCTCCCTATGTATATTCAGTTAACCTATGAGCATGTGTATTATTAATGCCTAAGTATTTAAAAGTATATTACTACCCAGATGAACCAGCAAGGAGATAAATCACATGACTTCTGAGTTCCCTCCCATGCTAAATATATGTAAACTATTGTATTATATATATATAAACATATATATATACACATACATATATAAACATATATACACACACACACACATATATATATATGTTTCTGCGTGTTTTTTTTTTTTCACTTTAATACTCCTTAAAGTCAGGGAAGGAAGGCAGAAGTAGGTTTTCAGATTTCGCCATCTCTCAAGTTGCAGGGACAATTCTGTGAAGCTAAGCCAGGCCCCCACTTGCTCCTGGTGTCCATCTAACTGATGCTGTCAGGTTTTATGCCTCCTTTCCTCTTCCAGTTGTTGCTGGCAATTTCTCATTCCTCGAGATGGCTGAGGCCATCTCTGTGACTGTCCCCTCAAGACTAGAAGCCAGACACTGTCCACACTTGTGGTGCAGACCTGTCTTCCTTGAGCCTTGCAGGTACATAGGGAGGCCTGTGGTGGCGGGTGGAGGTGAGCAATAGGGTTCAGAAGGGAAGGTGGAGAGGGATGCAGCTAGGAAAAAAACAAAACAAAACAAAACTGATTCCAGAGCTGTAAGAAAGGTGCAGCCAGGCCTGAGTGAGGGAAGGGAAGGCCAGTCCCTTCTCTTGCCTGGCTATGGGACTGGGACAAAGTGGTTGGCTAAGAGCTGTAGGGCTTCACTTGGAGAAAGCAGTTTGAGGGTACACAAGCAGCTGTGAGGGAGAGAAGAAACCAGACCGGGCCACGTAGGCAGTCTACGGAACGTTGGAGAGCTACGGTGAGGCCCTCAAACAAGGGAGGGGCTTACCTGGGGCAGTGGGCCAGCCCCTAGTGGACAGCTATGGTGCCGACAGGAGGACTCCTAGAGAAATGGAAAGATCATGAGCCTGAAGGGGAATTCAGTTTCTGGGAATGGGCAGATAAGAATGGAGAAAATGTCATTCTGAGACGTCACTGTAGTTCTTCCCCAAACACAGCTGACCCCAGGCAAGAGGCCAGACCCCAGCCTGTTCACAGCCTTCCATCTCTCCCCTGTTTCCAGGGCTGTTTCCACAGTCCCCTTCCACCCCAGCTCAGCACCTCCACATAAGTGTCTTTCCCCTCCTTTCCTCCATCCCTTGTCCCCACCACAGTTCCCACTCTGGCATTGTTTGTTGGCTTGGAGCCAGGGAATCTGTGGTCTGGGGAGGCAAGCTAGAAGTCTTAACAGCCCTTTCTCACAGGAACATGAAATGGCAAATCCATTTCATGTTCGGGAGGTTGAGGAACAGAGCAGTTTCTGGAGCTGGACTGCCTGGGTGTGAATGCAGCTCCACCTCTTAGCTACGGAGAGACCATGGGCAAATTACTGAACCTCATTTTCCACACCTGTAAAATACAGACAATAACAGCTTCCATCACCTACACTGTCATAAACACAAAATAGGAGTGTGTGCAAAGCTCTTAGTATAGTAGCTGGTGCACAGGCAGTGCCCAGCAAGAAGCAGTACTCCATTTCCTATGTAACCTCTTTACTCAGCTCCTCACCTCCACTCGTGTCTGGCCCAAACTATTCTCAATGCAGCATGGTGATCTTTTGAAAATATGCTGACATCCATCACTCTCCTGATGAAAACTCCTTAACAGTATCTCATTGCTAGCACAGCAGGCAGCCTGCGCAGCTACTGCCCACCGCCGACCTGACTAGGGGCTGTGGTCACAGTGGCCTCTGCTGTTCTTCACTTCTCTCTACCTGGAACATTATTCCCTGACCCGCTAAGTCATGACTCAGCTCAAGTGTCATTTTCTCGAAGAAGCCCCTCTAACCACCTACTGCTCTTTTTCAGCAATAATCCTCAATCTGTAATTACTTCATTGATTTATTGTTCATGATCCCACGAGAAGGCAGCTCCATGAAGCCATCCAGCCAAGCGCTTGCTGAAGGAATGAAGGACACGTTATCCACGGGTTTTAGGTGCTTTATAAATTAAACCGGTTCAGTGGCCTGCCCAGTGAGCCTGACCACCACAGTTCCAAGTTCCCAGCCCTCTGTACGGTAAGGCCTGGCTACCTAAGTGTAAACAAATATTACACATCAAGCCCAGTGGCCCAAAGTAAACATTTTTATTCTCAGTTCTGCCTTAGGGGTGTCTAGTTTTGCAAGCATGAGTAAATGGGATCAACAATAATCCTCTCCTTAAATGTCTGGCATTAAAATTTGTCACTTAAAAAGTTTCTGGTTTTGCCTAAAGAGAGTGTGATTTGAGGGTGACCTGAAACAAGGCTTGAGACTTGTGGACACATAGGGTTAATCGCCTTATTTCCTGCCAATTCACAGAGCAGTGAAAGGCCACAGTCAGCTATAAATAGCGGTCAGGCAGATCTGTCCTTCCAAGAGGGAAAGAACTTAGCAACAAAGAGAGACGCAAGGGGTGAGGCGGGCAAAGAATCATTAGCCCAGTTTCTGCCCGTGCCAGGGCATGTGACCCTTGGGAATGCCGCGAGGCCCAGCAGGGGAAGGAGAGGATCAACGCTTTCATAACCTCCAACGCGGTGCATCCCAAACCCAGACGGGCCTGGACCGACCTGTGCATTTACTCCTGAATGTCCTCGGTCAGCAGACACAGGAACCAACAGGTGGGAAAACGTGTCCTCCAGAGTGCTCCTTTTTTTGAGGGGGACCCAGCTCCCAGGCAGGAAATGGCAGAGAGGAGGTGGATCCTTTCCCTTGGAGTGGCCTTCTGTCTTCCAGGGTTCACAGGACAGTCTCTCGGATGACCCCAATGAGGCTGTGTGGCCGCTCAGCCTCCACTCGCCGGGACCTCCTCTCGGCTCGGGGCCTGCCCGCCGGTGCGAAGGTGCTCAGGTCGCCGCAGCTCTGGAGGTGCAGCAGGCCAGGCTGTCTCCGCGAGGGCAGCGTGCGGGCCCTGGATGTGCTGGGTTGCAATGGGGCCATTATCTTTGGGAAAAGAGAGGGTGGGGAGAAGTTAAGTAAGCTTTACCAGATGTGGCCCTTTGACCTAACTCCTAGGTCCATCCACCTATCTTCATGTGTAACTGCTTTGAAAAAGAAAGAAAAAACCGCATTTTCCCAATGTGGAACTCACCTGGAATTCCAGGGGTTCTTTGTAAATCCTCCAAATGTTCTACCACTTCCGCTGTAGACCCATAAACCACACTTAACTGATTTGTCCGCTGCAATTTCTTGCTTTAACATTCTTCTCATAGCTTTTCTCTAATTTCTCTGAAGCCTAAGTCAGTGATCCTCACTGGCATCTGAACATTATTACTGGGTCAGGGAGGGACGGGTATTGTCAGAAACATGAATTCCCTGCTGAATTGCCACAGAATTCCCATAGCAATGGGAACACTTAGCCTGGACTCAAGAACCTACATTTTTAACAAGAATCCAAGTAAAAACCACTGGTATGGGATTGGGACCAGGTGATGGGTTTATAAAATGTCAACCAAGTCAACCAAGTATAGGCACAGTGGCTCACACTTGTAATCCCAGCACTTTGGGAGGCTGAAGCAGGTGGATTACTTCAACCCAGCAGTTTGAGACCACCCTGAGTAACATAGTGTGACTCCATCTCTACAGGAAAAAAAAAAAATTTTTTTTTAATTAGCTGGGCATGGTGGTTCATGCCTGTAGTCCCAGCTACTGGGAGGTTGAGGCAGGAGGATCACTTGAGCCCAGGAGTTCTAGACCAGCCTAGACAACATCGCAAGACCTCGTCTCTACTAAAAATAAGAAAACTTAGCTGGGCGTGGTGGTGTGTGCCTGTAGTCCCAGCTACCTGAGAGGGTGAGGCAGGAAGATCACCTGAGCCCAGGATTTCAAGGTTGCAGGGAGCTATGACTACACCACTGCACTTTAGCCTGGGTGACAGATGGAGACCCTGTTTCAAAAGAGAAAAAGTCAACCCAAACCATCCAATGATGCTTCAAATGGATCTGATAATCTTTTAATAAACAATATAAAAACTAGGCCAATTTATTTGTAAAAAGTCTTTAAGAATGATTCTTTTCGCTAAATCTGTTTTGCAATGTGTCACAAACATAATTTTGAATATATAATAATATCACTTACTCTGTAAAAATGGCAAAAATATGAAAAATTCCTCATCCAACTGGGATTGAAGAGGAGAAAACTGTCCCGTCAATTTTTTGTAAATTGCACAGCCATGTCTGTTTGACCTGTAATAGTGTCAGCAGCTCGGGGAAAACTCGGGGCTTTACTGTTACCTAACATCACAGCACAATCATTTGGATGACTTTTTGTTTCATTTGTACCATTCTGAGCTTTTAAGGTCATTAAAAGATTATTCCCCCAAAGATGGGAAATTAAATTTTATTAACAATCTACTTAATTACATCTGTCTTTGAGGTCTGTCCTTGTCTCCTGATTAAGAAAAGTTCAACATTCATAGAAGTTGACTGTGCTACACAGTAAGTTAGGACAAGTGGTTTTGATATCAGTGAAAATTAAAATGGATCTAAAAGCTCCAATATGCGAAGCCAGCTAGAGTCAGAAATAACCGGTCTCCTTCTGCTGTCCTTACCTCCTTCTGCCTGGGAAAAGGTATGGAATTGTGAAACCTCACCTCTAGGGTCCAGTCCTGGAAGGCCCTGCAGATGACCCAAAATCTATTGCAACAATCTCAGCACCTGAACTTTTAAACTGCCTGGGGCACAAAGATCTAGCAACCATTTGTGATGATAGCATCTAGTGAACTGTATAAGTGCTTGTTCTTTTTCCCCAGAGTTATTTCCCAGGGAGCAAGACTTTGCAGAAGGTCCAGGCCCACTGCCTGGTGAATGCTCCAGCTCTTAGCTCAACAGAGCTTGGCAGCCTTCCAGAAGCAGCTCCTGTTTATTGGGCTCTTGGGGCCAGAGAGAGGGAAGGTGACAGAGAATGACATCTGGAGTAGCTAAGGGACACGAGGATGTAAAATGTTTCCCCCACACAGGTTAGTAACTAGAGCCTGACCCGGAATCGTAACTGATCACTCTTTTAGAGTGCAAACGCAAGACGGTCTGTGGTTCATGTACCTCTTCATGCAAGGAATCAGATCATTCCTCTCCCTGAATCCCCTGAGGGACTGGGAGAGAGTTTGGCTTCTGGCTTCTGTAAGAAGAGGCCAGCAGGTAGAAAGGGGGAACAGAAGGGAAAGTGAGAAGGGTATTTACTCAATCTGAATTAAAAATTTACCTACATCCTGAAGTTGGTAATTACCCTGAGAAATTAGCCCACTTCAATTGAAGAAGTATTTGTTGGACATTTAATGCACAAAGACACAGAGTCACATAACATCCATACGCCATTGTGGGGTGCTGTCTACGACATCTACCCCACTACCTGCAGCAATGAAGCCAACACCTAAAAGGGAATGGCTTTTTAAAAAGGTGGAGAGAAGGCTCCTTCCAGAAGGAAACACCATTCATTCAGAAATAGAGATATAGAGACTACCTAGTCCAACCCTTTACTTTAAAGAGGAGAAACCTGAGACCCAACTGGATTATGTTCGTGCCCAATTCTATCTTTTCTCCAAGTGGCTTCAGTTTCGGGGATTGCCTTGTATTTTTTAATCTATAAGAAGAAAGGTGTTTATTCCCTCAGGACCTGTTGGCTTATCTTGCCAAACATTTCATGGGAATGTGAACAGCCTCTTAGAATCTTGTCAATATTAAAATTCACCTAGGTCATCATTTTCAAAGGGCTGAGAAAACATGCCTTATCAAAGGAAACCTTCAATTCAGGAAATCAAATGTTGAATGCACTCCCCATTGTCCATATCCTCCGCTTTTATTCCTGGCATGCACTCTTTTCTTTTTGCAGACATGCTTCCACATCCCAGGAAAACTGGGTTCTCTTCCCTTGAGCCAAGAATGACGTGGGAAAGTTACCACACTTGAAAGCTCCACGGCTTCCTCTCTCTCTCCCCCTCCCCTGACCTCCCAACCCCATTTCCCTGAAGACTGTGACCATGAATTTACTCTGCCTTGGGCAGGAAAGCAGAGAAGCCACTTTAGCTGCTATAAAAATGAGTTATCTGATTCACATCTGAGATTAATAATAGAACTACCTGTTCTAGGAAACTGGCACTTGTGATGGCTTCCTCCATGTGCTCCTCATCAGACTTCAAAACAGATTTAATGTTTTCTACAAGTTCATGGATGTCTGGGGTCATGGTACAGGAGGACTGCTCCAGGAACCTCGCCACCAGCAGCTTGGTGTCCAGGTAGGATTTGTAATCTATCAAAGACCGCGGTCTGCCTCGCGAAGCCCTCGATCTCAAGCCTCTCCTCAGAGTCACCGCAGCCAGATCCAGTCTCCTTTCAGTCTGTGTCGCAGCTTCACAGCTGAGCACCGGGGCAGCTGTGGGCAGAAACAAACAACGCGAACCCATTGGCCAACCCCTTTTGAACACATGCCCGTACCTGAAAGCACAGACCACAAAACTCAACATGGAAAGCATCTGACAAATGCTGATAGCCATGCACATCCTGCTTTTCATCTTGCAGAAGGGGGGAAAACAATTATGACACAAGGTTATTCCCTGATGTCCAGTTCCAATAGGATATGGCCCAAAACATGTCATCGTGCCATGTGACATCACCCGCAAGGTAAAGCCAGATGGTGGAGAGGAGAATCCAGAATGCAAACCATAATGAAGTTAAGTTTCATGGGGTATGACAAACAGATGGGCATGGATGGGCCAAGCAGGAAAAATGTGGCTGACCCATGAAACGATGTTCCAAGGAGCAAGGATGAAGTAGTCAATTAAGAGAGGAAAGGGCTGAAGAGAGATAAGATTTGTCAGATGAATGTAATGCTCTGATCACTTCGACTATACCTTTGTCCCAAACGTCCTCAGGGACATTGTACTGACTTGTGCTATCGATGCTCACACCATGGATATGAGGTAGATCTATAGCTATTACAGAAAGAGAAATTCAGATGCAGAAAAAGTACACATCATGCTGGAAGTCAACACAGGGCCTGGGAAATCCATCGCAGGCTCTAATTTCCATGGCTACCTACATCAGCAAGGGTGTAAAGACCAGCAGAATGCTTCTGCACTTTGAAGTGGGTGAAGCAAAACTCAGATCTGGTCATTATGTGTCCAGAAGCCAGCCCGCAGCCTTCAGCATACACAACACTGGCATCAGTCTATGAAGGCCTGATAAGCAGAAATTTAGAAATTCAAAGAAGACAAGAAGCAGGGGGCGAGAGAGCAGGTGGAAGAAGGGGAGCACTCCTTTTCCTCTGGAGAAAGGCAGGCACGGGGAGCTCTAAACCAGGATTCAAGACTGTCCTCTCAGGCAGCCATATGCATGTCACAGAGAGCAAGAGTCTTCCAGAAGCACTCGCCAAAGACACTCAAGTGTGAGGACAGAGTCAGGGTCTCCACTCTTCCACTTGAAGGCAACCTGACGCCTTCCACAATGGAGGGCTCCAGCAGCTGCTGTCTTCACCCCTGCAGGTCTGCAGAATGAGAAGGGGTTCCAGAAAGATTTCCCTAAGCTGTGCAAAACAGCTAAGTTCCCGTTGAGGCTGGAGTCCTCAACTTGCCAGGTAGGGTGTAGGAGACCCACAGTGAAGGCAGGTCTTGGGAATCAGAAGCCAGGCTGCCCGGCCACTGTGCTTCAGAGACACGCTCAGTACCAGGCGACAGGATTTCCTCTCCACTCAGAAGCTGCTGTAGAGACAAGAGGAATGTTCTCTCTGGCTCGAACATGGTCAGTCCAGAGCTGTGGCAAATAACACACACTGTCAGACAGGCAGAACCGAGACTGCAAGGGCTCAAGACAGGACCCTGGAGAGAGCAGGGTGGAGGATTATCAAAGTTTTATCTGCACAGGTGTTTTAGAGGAGCAGAGGTCAACTCTGCTAGACTACTTCACAGGAAGAAGCTGGTGCTGGTGGAGTTACAGGAGGTTTTAATTTTCTTCCTTTAGTTTCTTTATTTTTTATAATTTTCTACAATGAAGAGATATTTGGAGATGTTCAGGTATTCATATATTCAGGAAAAACTCAGTGTTGTTATTTTAATTTTTAATTATTCAGGTAACAGCTATACACAAACAAACTTAACACAGAGCGAGAGGTGAAGTGTGTGGGTGTGTGTATTTCATTCTATCCAAAGTTCTAAAAACAAGGTCAGATTTCAATAATTTAATCATCTACTCATACATATTAAATATATAACAAATTATAAAAGAGGGAGTATACAAAAATCTTTTTGACTTTTTTTAAGACAATGCATATTCCCATAGGACTGCAGCATCTAGAAGTCAGAACTAGGTACACATAACTGTCTTCATGTAGTACCTAGCATAGTATCATGTACAACCAAATTCTTTTGATGACAATGACTTAAAAAACAAAAAACAAAAAAAAACCCTACCATCTTTTTTTTTTTTTTTTTTGATACGGGAGTCTCACTCTGTTGCCCAGGCCAGAGGGCAATGGCGCAATCTCGGCTCACTGCAAGCTCCGCCTCCCGGGTTCACGCCATTCTCCTGCCTCAGCCTCCCGAGCAGCTGGGACTACAGGCGCCTGCCACTGTGCCCGGCTAATTTTTTGTATTTTTAGTAGAGACAGGGTTTCACTGTGTTAGCCAGGATGGTCTCAATCTCCTGACCTCGTGATCCGCCCGCCTCGGCCTCTCAAAGCGCTGGGATTACAAGTGTGAGCCACTGCGCCCAGCCCCTACCATCCTTAAAAGACATGGTAGATGTATAATCCTAACATGGACGTAGAATATTTTACTTTCCCAAGACCTCATAAACGCCTTCAAATGACCACTTAAACTGCAGGGTCTTGAGCTGGCCAGAGCCACCCGCCTTCACCTGGCTCCTTTAAGCAAATAAGCACAGAGCCCCGCGCAGAGCTTGGGGAATGACGTCACCTCTGTCCTCGGAATGATGGAGCACAGGGTCACTCTTTGACCTCGTCCTCAGGGGTGGGAGGGCTCTCCGGCTTCTCACAGGACGCACCAGGGTTGAACTGGGAGTTGACATGGATGCGTTTTCTTCTGCAGGTATATTAGGAATGGCCCCACCTGATTAAAAAAAAGAAAAAAAAAAGAGGCGAAACATAAATTATTTCACCAGCTGTAGTCCTCAAAATGCGCAGGAAACACCCGTGAGCCTGAACCTGCCCGGGCAAGGGTAACGCAGTTAATAACATTTACTCAGGCTGCTGGCCCAGTAGGTTTTTATATCACTGCGCTATGGGAGAAGTTGCCTTTCCAAACCACCCCTCCACACCTAAAACAAACAAACAGAAAAATTTACATCCAACAGCAAAATAAAGGAGCCATGCCAAAATGTCAGGCTGTTTTTCCCAAAGGTGCTTAGACTCGTCTCCAGGGAAGCATCCTGGGGCAGTACGGAGAAGCACCCTGACCTATCAGGATGAGCCTGGTTCTGGGAAAGTAATACCTGCACAGGTGAGGTGGCTGCTCTGTGGGCTGCAGAACTCCCAGAAGGCTGAGTTAGAGAGTCAAGTGTCCACTAAACAAATCCGTAAAACCCCGCGGGAACTGGATAATTTATGCTCATAAAAATAAAATTGCATCATTTGTGAGCCTGAGTTGCAATTCGGGAAACTTTTCAAAATGGAAAAATTCGCTGGGCACAGTGTCTCATGCCTGGAATCCCAGCACTTTGGGAGGCCGAGGCGGGCAGATCACCTGAGGCAGGAGTTCGAGACCAGCCTGGCCAACATGGCAAAATCCTGTCTCTACTAAAAATACAAAAATTAGCTGGGCATGGTGGCGGGCGCCTGTAGTTCCAGCTACTCAGGAGGCCGAGGCAGGAGCATCACTTAAACCCAGGAGGCGGAGGTTGCAGTGAGCTGAGATTGTGCCATTTCACTCCACCCTGGGCAAAAGGAGCGAAACTCTGTCTCAGAAAAAATAAATAAATAAAAATAAAAATAAAGTTAAAAAATAAAAAATGAAAAATTATGAACATACTTAGGAGACAGAACACTGCTTCATAATTCTACTTAGGATGGAAGGTGAACAGAACACAAAGTATTACATTACACATAGTACTGCTGAAAAATTACCTTCATCTAAAATTGCTAAGAGTTGATCCATTATTTATTGCCATTTGCGATTTTGTCCTGCTGGACAATTTTCTGGGCCACTTAAAACCTCCCCAAAGAGAGAAGGCCATAACAATGTTCCCTTAAATTACAAGGATAAATGTAAACTGACTCTAGTACTTACTATAGTACTGAAAACCAGAATTCACTAACTGCTCAGGCAGCAGGACCTGGGCCCTAGGTTATAAATGACACAGCACAATCTCACTGCAAATCACCCTGCAATAGACGAAACTTTTTCCCCCTGCCAAAAGTCTAGCTAATGTTAATAGGAGGAAGAAAATTATAGATCAGAAAACACAGGAATATCAAATCAAACGCTGTAACCTATTTCACGGTTCCTGAGAATAGTCTGGTTCATAAAAATGTCTAAGGATATCTTTTTTCAGCTCACGTATTTTCCATTTATAAGCCCTAATAGTTGACGGCATTTTTGCACCTGGAGAAAAAGGTAGAGCTTGAACTATTTGCTCCGAGAATATCTGCCCTCCAGCACAATACCAGACAAGATCATTATTATTATTATTATTATTCGTTTGTAGAAACAGGGTCTCTCCATGTTGTGCAGGCTAGCCTCAAACTCCTGGCCTCATGTGATCCTCCCACCTTGGCCTCCCAAAGTGCTGGGATTACAGAGATTAGCCACCTTGCACAACCTATTTCATCATGTTTTAATCTACTGAATCATGTCACAGTGTATCTATTACCTTGAGTCACTTGTGTGCAGCCCGGATCCAGTGGGATCACAGCAGCTTCTGATCTTTCTGCCATTTGGAATGAAGATCCCTGCATCACAGAAAAAAAGGGTTATTTTGTTGATGTTTAACTCACCGCTCATCAGACCCAGTTAACTCCTTAAAAAGATGTGTGGGGCCCGGTCTCCCTGCTGTTCTCTGGGGGTAGGGGTTGGGGAGATGCTGTGTTTCCCACTTGCAGTCAATGTGCTTAGAGAGACGTGGGACAGACAGTACCTGCTCCTGGTCCATCTGGCTCACCACAGCTTCATACGGCGGCGGGGGATCCAGAGGACAGAACACTTCCACACCTTTGATTCGAGCTCCGTAGATGTGTGGCAGGGGAATAACATCAGGACCAACCATCCTAGGAAAAGGAACTCGGCGTCAGAAAGCACATGCTACAGACTGGCCACATGACTGCAGTGATGCCTGGATATTGGCTTCGCTCTAAACCGTGGGCAAAACCACTCACCTCTCCGTACCATGGTCTGCTTGGCCAGGAGAGGAAGAATAACAGAAGCTGCTCTCTGACGAAGTGGCCAGAGTTCCTTAAGCAAGTGACAGTGTATAAAATGCAACCCCATCATTCCTTTTAAACCCATCAGTCAAAAAGCAAATAATCCACAGAGACACAGAGCAGATGAGTGGTTGCCAGGGGATGGGGGAGAAGGGAATGGGGAGTGACTGTTTGAGGGGTATGGGGCCTCCTTGAAGTATTGATGCTTTGGAACTAGATAAAGGTGATGGTTACAAAATAATTTGAATGTACTAAATGCTACTGAATCATATACTTTGGTTAATTTCATTTTATATGAGTTTCACCTCAATTTAAAAAACAACTAAGGATTCAGGAAAATTCAATTATTTCTTACATTCTACATGGCTCTTGTTTTTGTCCTGTGGGTAAAGAACCATCAACAGCAAAATTCAAAATAATAGCAAAATCCTCCACAAGATTTCTCACTAGTGTTGATAGAAAATTCTACAAATCTCTGCCCAAGGTGCTAGATGATCTAGATAATGATGAACCTAAGTTTTAAAATAATTTATAAAATACATATAAAAGCCAGAAAACCTGTATTCCGCTATCGAGTATCAAAGAATGAAAAAAAAAAAAAAAAAACAGCAAAAGTTTGTTCTTGAAATACAAAAAAAGGACTTTAAAAAGCTAAAAGAAATGGATGAGAAAACAGATTCTGGGGCTAGTTGCTTGCAGGCACTGCCTTTTGGGGAGTGGTGTTCTCTGAATTTATAGTTGTTTCATTTTATTCTTTGTGGCCATGTACAAAATGTGATTGGTGGAAAAACACATTTGAAAAGGATGTCATCTTCTTTCTTTCTAACAGTAAAACTTCTGGAATTCTGGAACTGAGAAGAACGAGACTCTGCAACCTGAATGAAAAGATGAGAATGCACTCCCTCATTTTCCTCTATATTTGTCTGTTCATAAGCGAGGCTCTCATCCCTTGCTTGACCTGAAAGGGAAGGTAGAAGGTGATGTGCTAACGCCTGACATGGAGATGTTTGCAGGTTCAGCACGCAACACGTCAAGCCTCTAGTTGAATGTGAGGCACTAGCACAAAGGGTCCCTTTGTCGGGGAGGGGTCCTGGCAAAGTTATCAAGAAAGAGAGATTCTCCCCTTAGAGCAGGACTTGCCAACAGGCTTCATTCCAACTCCCATACTCCACCGAAACTGTTTAAGAACTATAAATGCTGGGTGACTCTGAGAAGCCAGACCCTTCTTGGATCTAAGAGTGAAGATTCTTTCCTGGCAAATGAACAGTACAATTTGTTTTCATCAATGAGACCTATGGACTTCTATCCTCTCTAGAGGGCCAGCCTTCCATCTTTAATGAGCATAGCCCCCATAAGCCATCTTCCTAGCACTTACAAACACTTGACTTTTTCTCTCCAACAAATGACACCTGTATTTCTTTGCTGCTGTGTCCCCTGCCTGGAAAGTTTCTATCCCCAGCTTTGTTACCTGTTTCTTAGCTCTGATGGTCCCTGTCTGGCAGTCCCAACACAATGGGTACCTATGTGTCCAGAGAGAGAGGAGGGCTTGCTGAGGGCCAAGAGGTCAGAGGAACAGGCCCTGTTTTAGATCCTAAACTATTGTAGAATTTCTTCCAGAAGAATAGCTTGAGAAAGAGGGGGCATACTTTATCCAAGTTGACCACAAAATAAACAGCTTCTATGCTAGTTTTGATAATGCCCATAAAAGCCTCACTTTGAAGGAAGATGCTGCTAGAGTTGACATAGAAGAAAAGTTCCTTTCCAATTAAGCAATTGCTTGTTTTACCTCGTTTGTGTTAACGAGGGTCTGTGGAGGGAAATGGGTCTGCTCATACTGGCAGGTTGTTTTTTGTGTGTTTTTTGACTACTGTTTCTTTCCCCAGATCCCCATGGCTCTCAGTCCTGGCAAGGTGGGTAGAATCACCTTGGGAGGTTCTAAAACTCTGGATGGCCCAGGCCTCACTTCTAGAAATTCTGCTCTCATCGCCTATGGTGGGGCCCAGGAATCTGCCCGTTGTCAGCGCTCCTAGGGGATTCTAATACACCGCCAAGATGGCGCACCATTGCAAAAGCAAATGGATAACGGTGATTGAAATTAAAGCCCTGTTCTACTGGGAAAGTTGATCAAATTTTTATTAAGAATGAGGGTCTTCAGAAGACAGTTGCCTAATAAGGTCAGGCTAAGGTTAAGAGCTAAGTGTCTCTTAAGAGCAGGACACATACTGAGAGCATTTTAAAACCCAGAACTAACACTGGGAAAGCCCAGTCTAAGATGCTCTTTTCAGAAAGCTTCTTAGGTCCATTATCTCATAACAATACTCCCCGCAGCCACATGACAACGAAGGTGAATGAGGAAACTGAGGCTCAGAAATGGTGAGAGACTCATCCTGGGTCACCCTCTGCAGAGACTCTAGAGCCTGGGCTCTTTCGAATTCATCACCAAGTCCCCAGGAAGCCTTCACTGGTGCAGGCTCAGGAGCACTGAAGACGGAAATGCGAAGCATGTTCTGCTTTCAGGCTACAAATAGGCCCTGAAGACTTACTCAGGGGGAATGCAGCAGCGAATACACCGTTGACCAGAGAATCCTCCTCCTCCTGTACTGGAAAACTGCGCCCTGTGACTGGGTACAGGGTTGCTGCTCGCGGAGTGGGAGACAGGGAAGGGCCCTCCCGCCCCCTCTCTAGAGCTGAGCACAGACTCAACCCCAGCATTGCCGGACTCCGCTTGAATTTGGATTTGGAAATTCTTAGGAAAGGAAATGAGTGGGGTTTTGTGGGGGCTCTGCTTTAAGACATGCCCATGTCAACCATATCAATGCCCAAGACCCCCTCAGTCTTCAGTTTTCTTTAATAGGGTATATCCCCAGAGTAAAAACCAGGTCCATGTTCAAGAAATAGGTTGGAGACTCCTTGATTCCTGGCTCAAGCCAACTTCTGAGAAGAAAGACACCCCGGAGTAGTGGAGGTGGGGTGCACGGCCCCCTCCTGTATCACAAATCAATTCACAAAGCAGCGAATCCATCTTTGGACAGAAACCTCAACTGCAGTCAGGCTTCCGTTTATGACAGTAACTCGAGAAGCCTTTTCTCAAGGAGATGCCAACGCATGAAGTGGTTGTATTTATAGAAGTTAAATCAACCTCTTCTGAGAGGTCATAATACCTTACAGGAAATGGGGAGCCTCTGTTGTGTGAAAACTCTGGATAAAACTGATCGTAGAAATAGTAACAAAAACATTCGTGAATATTCTTGCCTGCCTGCTTATGAGAAAGAAAATTACCAGCTGAGGTTAAACCATTAGTGTCTATAAAGTTGATTTATACTGTGAATCTAGCAAAGTTGGTCACATTTTAAAATATTTTTGATAGGACATGTATTTAAATGTGAATAAATTCAGCCCTTTTGAAAAGGAACGTGGACTGCACTCTGATATTGGTAAAATTTCCAAAAATTAAGGTGTTTGCCCACTGGCAATATGATTATAGGGCTCTGGGCACGTTTTAGACTGGGCAATGTCTTCTTTCTCACAAGACTGTTTAGATTTAACTCCCTCCTTCTGCCTTCTTTCTAGAAAGTTCTGAATGATAAAGCCCTTGATGAGAAGCTTGTCTGTTTTCTTCCAACCTAGATTTGGCCAGAGGTTGTCTCAAGACTCAGAGAGACAAATCCGAGGATGTACCTAGATTTTGAAGAATGGAAATATCTGCAGTGATGAGCACTATTACAGTGAAGCAGAGAAGA